AATTAATAATGTATCCTTTCAGATTAGTAGGCTAAAGAAAGATAAATTTCTTTGAGGAATCCTATCATCTGGGTTTGGAATATAAAAGCTTCTTTCTCAAAATATTGTTACAATTTCAGCATTGAGCCAGCAGATGGAGATAAGTCACTTAAAAAACAAAACACATTGGCTGTCTGAGCCTTTGTGCTAAAGGCTAGAATTCAAACACTTGAGCCCTAAACCTACTTCTAGCTTTTCCAGAGTAATTTATTGGTGATAAGAATCTCACAGACAAAGGGTGAAATTGGCAGTGATACTCACTAGACACTATGTTGAAAATGAACTATCCAACTTGTGGGGGAGGGATGCTGGGAGGGAAAAATACTGGGAGAAAATACAGGAAGAGGTGATACTGTTCGAAAAGAAATGTATTCATTACCTGACTTGTGTAACTGCAACTCCTCTGTACTTCACCTTTACAATAAATTTTAAAAACACATATACAAGATAGTACTTAATTCATTAACAATCTGAGTTGACAGGTACTATCTTAATTTATTGCCTCTCTCAACAGCCAATGGTTTAAGATATCAAGTTATAAAAAAAAAAGGGAAAAGCAATACAGAAATGAGTGAGTGTCTCCAACTTTAGGACAGGAAACTTTAACCTAAGATATTCAGTGCACTTTCTAGAGAACTGAGGTTTAGCCAGATATTAATTAGCTGTAAGCCTGGTGCCAGTAGTTGCTCATGCCTATAATCCTAGCTTAACAGGAGGCTGCCTTTGAGGATCAAGGTTCAAAGCCAGCCTGGGCAGGAATGTCCATGAGATTTTTGTCTTAAATTAAGAATCAAAAAAGCTGAAAATTGAACAGTGGCTCAAGTGGTAGAATGCTAGCCTTCAGCACAAAAGCTCAGTGATAGCACCCAGGCTCTGAGTTCAAGCCCCAAGACCAGAAAAAAAAACCCAAAACAACAACAACAAAAATCCCACAAGTCACATATTTGGTTAGGAATATACCCTAGGCCTAGAACTTGCATACTACAGTTCTTTTATCAGCTACTCTTGCTTGTATTCTAAATACTTTGGTATATGATAAAAATGCAGTTTTTTGACAAGTACTGATGACCCATGCCTATAATCCTAGCAACTCAGGCAGATAAACTCTTGAGACTCATAGCACCAATTAACCAGAAAAGGCTGGAACTAGAAGTATGGCACAAGTAGTAAAATGCCAACCATGACCAAAAAGGCTGAGCTGAAACACAATTTCAAGCCCCAATGCCCAAAAAGAAAAGAAAAAGCACAACTAATACATAAAAAAAGTTTAAAAATATATGAAGAAATAAAGAATTTCAAATTATTGTTTGTTAATGTTTTCAAATATATGAAGAAATAAAGAATTTCAAATTATTGTTTGTAAATGTTTTCAAATATATGAAGAAATAAAGAATTTCAAATTATTGTTTGTAAATGTTTTCAAATATATGAAGAAATAAAGAATTTCAAATTAGTGTTGGTAAATGTTTTCAAATATATGAAGAAATAAAGAATCTCAAATTATTGTTAGTAAATACTGTTCTATACATGTACAGCTATATAGCATTCTATAATCATGTGTCATTCATCTGCTCTTGGGCTCTTCCAGTGCATTAAGAGCTTTCAAGTCCAGTTTGAGTTATATTATTCCATGTGGCTTTTTCTTTTTTTTATTGTAAAGATACTATACAGAGGGTTACAGTTACATGAGTGAGGTAATGAGTACACTTCCTCTTGAACATTGTTACCCCTCCATTGTTTTCCCCCTACCATCCCTTCCCTCCCTACCTTCCCCGAGGTTCTTTTTTTTTTTTGATTGTGATTTAGTGATTACAAAATTTCCCGAATTTCACAGTATTGTGGAATAATGATGTCATTTAAAGTCTCAAGTTCATTCTAACTTTCCTGGAGCAAATTGTCTATCACAGCCATGTGGCTTTTTCTATCTACAATGCATCTGTAGTAAGTTTCTCTACCAGAAGGTCTTATGTTCACTTTTGTGGCAGTTTTATTAGATACATATATTAGTTATACTTTAGAATACACTGAAAGCTCTTGAAAAACATGGGTAGTGGAGATGAGGAAAGCAAATAAAGAGTTAAATCTGATTAAAACACTATCCATGAGGCAAGCACCAGTGGCTCAAGTCTGTAATGCTAGCTACTCAGCAGGTGAGATCAAGCTTCCAATCTCTCCAGGGTAGTAAAGTCCATGAGATTCTTATCTCCAGTTGAAAAAAGACACAGGCCAAAAGTGGAGCTGTGGCTGAAGTGGTAGAGCACTAGCATGAGCTAAAGAAGCTTAGGGACAGCACCCAGCCCCTGAATTCAACCCCCAGAACAGGCAAAGACACACACACACACACACACCCCACTGTACATACATGTGTAAAACACCAAGATAAAACCTTTTTGAATAAGCATCATTCACTAAAAATAATGAATGTGAAAACAGGTCCTGTCTAGGATTAGGTTACTCTAAAAAAAAAAAAGAGATCAGCACAGTGCATGTATTAGTTCTGAGATCCCAATACCAAACTGTAAATATAAAAGACTGTGCCAATTAGGGGACCATGATTGGTCCCTGATGCTCTAGAAGAGGAGGGAATGAAGAAGAGCTCAAGTAACTGCATTTTCAGAATAACCCCACCAACCTGTAGCTGTGCTGCCCTCAGAATAACCTCAAAAAAAACACAGGTTGCCACCAACCCTGCGCACCCTTAAGGAACTGAACAGTTGCCTAAGGGGAAATGCAGTCAGGGCAGACCCCTGAACTGGTGAACTTGCTTACTTGTGTGGAACCCCCCTGAACTTGTGAACTTGCTTAATACTATAAAAGCTGTGCTAATTTTGATCTCCGGGCCTCTTAGCGTCAGCGAGTGCGCCGAGGACCAAGCTGGAGCTTGCAATCAACGACTCTTTGCTGTTTGCATTGATCATGGTCTCTGGTGGTCTGTGAGGGGATGTCTGAAAACTGGGCACTTCAGTTACTAATGGAAGGACAAACAATGAGGATGTCAAAATTGGTCAACATACTTTACATATATGCTTGAGATTGGGACAATGAAGCCTTTCGTAATTTGTCTGGCAATGGTGAGGAGTTGGGATGAGGAAGGGTGATGGAGAGGTGAATTTGTTCAAGGCACATTGTAGGAATATATGAACATGTCAACATGAGGTTTCCCTGTACAATTAATTCATGCTAATGAAAATGTAAAAGGAAAAAATCCACACTTCAATTTCAGTATTTTAATTAGTGATTTTCTGGTACATTGAAAAATTTCTTCAAATCTTAAAAATGAAATATTGATTTAAAAAAGAATGACTGCTTAAGCAACATAATCATACTAATCATTTAAATAGGGATAGACAAATACTTTTTTAAAAAATGCAAATCTGGGGAAAACAGCAGAAACCATAAGAGTACATGATTGTGCTCATTACTTTGTGAAATCTCTATTTACCGCAGTCAACATTGCTCATGTTTAACCCATTCATTTTTTTTTGAGGGGGGGAGAGTCTTCTCATGGGGCCTGAACTCTGGGCCTGTGCTCTGTCCCTCAGCTCTTCAGTTCAAGGCTAGCGCTCTACCACTTGAGCCACAGTGCCACTTCCAGTTTTTTTCTTTTTGCTTATGTGGTGCTGAGGAATCGAACCCAGGGCCTCATGCATGCAAGACAAGCCCTCTACTACTGAGCCCTCTTCCCAGCCCCCCATTCATTTTTTAAAGTTTTTAAGTAGCTATTTCAAAAAATGTTTCCATTAGCAGCAGCACTAGTTTCCTTGCAGTTTTGGTCTTCATTAAAGTTTCCCAACCAGTCAACGATTCTGAATCAAGGAGACATGTAAAATTGGTACATATGAACTCCCCAATAAAAACTGATCAATCCTGTCTCATTTATTCTCTGATGACTAGTTGCAAAATCATCAATTATACAAAGAAAATAAGCATGTTATTTTGTTGTTTCATTGTTCACAATATCCTTTGGCTCTATCTGACCTATCAATTTCATGGCATCTTTGTCATGAATTTAAGTAGTAAATTCATAGAAATATACCAGAAAAGCATACTAATTCCATACTTATAATGATAAAATACTACACATCTACTTTTTAGAAAATGAGAGTCAACTCATTTTCTGGTGTAATGCTCCAAATTGAATTACCACTGACAGACCAGGAGACAGCGGGAGTAGGTGGTCATTGTGTGTAGTAGGAAAGCTCCTTGCTGACTCACAGTGCTGAACTACAGCCATGAAGCTACCAAGCAACTCCAATTGCAAAAATGCCCAAATGTATTCCAATGTTTTTGATACATAATGCTAAGATTTTCCAAAATACATGTGTATAATATATTTAATGTATTTTATTTATATCTATAACATGAGGTTTCTTTCCTTTCAATGTAATCATAGTATGAATAAGTGCTTAGTTTGGCTCAGTTTCAGTTTACTTATTGAATAGAGGAACAACAGAGAAATCTTTATGCATATAATTAATACATACTTCTTTTCAGTTTTCTGGGTAGCTGAGCATTGGAAGATGAAAAAAAGGATTTAATCCTCAATGAATATTCTTGGCTCAAAGGAACAGAGAATAGTCAAGTCGATAGAACTGTACTTTAATTATGTCAGATTTTAAAACATTCCTTTCTTTCTAAAAAGCTTAAGAGCAAAGTAGAATGTTTTCTTAGGTTCTCATGAGCAAAAGTAAGAAATATATATATATATATATATATATATATATATATATATATATATGGAAAAAAAACTGTGTTCCAAGATTTGAGATGAAAAGACAGACCATGAATGGGAATGTATAAATGCCCTACAATATACAAAGACTAATTACTGCTAAAGAACTTGAAATGATACTCATAGGTGATGAAAAAAATATATATTTGGAATCTGTTTTGATGTCTATACCTCTGATTTAATTACATTACTTCAAATCTTGAACTTTAAAGTATTTTTAAATTCTTACCTGTTGAATCATCCAGTTTCCTAAGACCATTCAATGAGAGCAGGAATACATTTTGGAGAGGAGTAAAGCCCTTGATTAATGGGGCTCTGTAAGTCTTAAGAAGAACTCGTGGTGGCAGGCCTTTCTCGAAGTTATGTGTTCTGATCAATGTAGGGGGATACAAGGATGCAACTAAATAATTCACGAAAACACACCAACTTTTCCCAAAATCTGCTTCTGGTTTGGAATAGTAAAGAAATCTGCAAGATAAATGGAAAACATACTCACTTCATTTCGAACTCATTTCATTCAAGATGTCTTCTGTTAAGAAAACAAAATGTAAATAAAATAAAATAAAAACAAATACTGATATTCAACAGCAATAAAAAGGAAAACAATCCATACTTCATTGAGAAATAGGTCTTAAAGTAGAATGACATTAGTCTATGATACCTTCAAAAGTTTTGGAGATGGCTAATAGGTTTTTAAACCTGAAAAGGATCATGCCACATTGTTACCATTTTATATATCTCTCTAAGACACATTATACTAGAAAAACTTTTGATGGTTGATTTGTAAGAATGGTAAGAGTGTAAATAGCTCTTGTTGGTAATATAGAAATAAATGCCATTGGTGTGTGTCCCCAGAATACTAAGCACCCCAACGGAAGATATCAACTTTCCTTTTTCCTTTGATTTCTGGGATTTGAACATAAGGCCTGAGAGCTATGCCCAAGTTTTTGTTCTCAAAGCTAGCAGTCTACCATTTGATCCACAGATCCACTTCTGTCTCTTTAGTCATAAAATTAGACCTAAGAATCTCAAATGCTTTCCTGCAGGCTTCAAACCAAGATTTTCAGATCTCATCCTTCTGAGTAGCTAAGATAACAGATGTGAGCCACTGGCACCTAGCTTTCCTTGGCTTTGGGGGGAAGGAATTAGAAGCTTTTAATGTGGAGGAAATCTCTCTCAAAATTCCTCATATTTATATGTCTAATAATTATAGTTGGAGGTAGTAACAGGTGCAGACTCTGTCTTAAACAGCTATTTCAGCATGCTAAATGATTTAAAGATATGCAAAATTCTTGTTCCCCATAAGACATGTACACACCTTCCTTGGCTCACTAAGAGCATCCTCCTCCAAGCCTTACCAATCCCAGGACCTTAGTCATCTCATCAGAAAGCAGCAACTCCTTCTCTGTTTCCCATGGCACCAACTGCATACTTGAAAGTTTCTTATATCATTAGATTATATTCTCATTCACAGAAGCTAGGTCTTTGTGACTACCATCAAACAGAAAATGCTTGTATTATGCTTGTCAGTGCCAAGAAAACTATGGAATGACAAGGAACACTAGCTAACATGGTCTACCAGCTTCCTTCCTTGCCTGGAGTTGGTAGAACAGCAGATTTAGATCCTTGGTGACCAGGGTTTACTTGGGAATCACTACTCTTTCTTACACCACATTTGTCTTTCAACTGAATATAAGAACACCTGACTGTTACTCAGGTTCTTGTGCAAAGAACACTGAGCACCAGTAACAGTGAATGTGCTACATTCCAAAGGATTAGGACAGGAGGAAATGGAATGACAGCACCACTTCATAGACATTGGAGAAAGGACCCAATGTGAACTTCTATGGTAAGTGACCTTTCCAAATACTTTAGCTGAAAGAGTTCTTCATGCCATGAGTGACATGAACAATTTCTGTGTGACCATGAAAATATATTTTAAAAAACAACTTCAAATCATTCATATAAATTTTATGAATAGGTAGACTGGAGCCAGTCAGTTCTAGAATTCAATTCTCTAAGATTGGAGCACATGAAAGCCACACAGTAGTGTCTGACTGAAATAACACTTCTTTACATAGCCTGTTCTGAAGAAAGTAACTGATGTTTGGCAATGTGTAGTATGTTACAATGGTGGACACAACTCTTCACCATTTTCTATAATCCAGTCTACTGTTATTTTCCTACAAACTTGGAAAAAGAAGACACCATGTTAAAGAAGGAATCAAGAGTTCTCCACTCTTTCCTTTCCTCCCTTAAGAGTAGTAGAAGCCACCTTTCACTTTGGAAGCAGGTGACTAAAACTGTCTTTTCTGGAGACCAACAAGAATAAATAAATTTATTAAACAAGAAAAAATAAATTTATTTGGAACCATGTTGTTTATAGTTAAAATGTTTGCTTAGATAAACAACATATCATGTATTCCCTAGGGGCATCTTTATAGTTGAAAAATTCTATTCTGGCTCTTACAGTTGTAGCGTTCATCCATAAAATATGAACAATTTCCAAAGGAACCAGATTCCTGAGGAAAGCTTGAAATGTGGATAGGACCCCAAGACTTCCAGGAAAGAAGTCAAAAATTAGAGATTAACGTTCTAAATTCTGAAAACAACCTGCTAGATTCCTAGTGTCACAGACACTAGAAGAAAGATTAGTTAAGAACTGTGCCTCAAACAATTTTACCTTTCATTCATCTCTTCAGAACCTACTAGAGGACGGGTCCTACCAAATAATGCACAGGAAAGACTCTAGAGAAATGCAAATGGATGATAAAACACCAATAAAAGGAGGCAGAAAATATCCCCAGGGCAGCAGTATAATCAGATCACTGGACCATACCTGGCCTTTGGGCAGATCATAGAAAGTGCATTGCTTAGAAACAGAAGAGGAGATACATACAGTATGTAGCACATCACACGGTGTAATAGTGTTATGTGTACAGAACACTGAGACAGCACATAGGACAATGATGATCTGTCAAGTGGACAAAACAGTAAGGAAAAATGATCCATTCAGTCTGAGGCAAAATGTGACTAATGATTACAGCCATAGCAATCTCAACCCTGAACATCAACCTAAGGAAGATGACTAACTTTGAATGTGAACTCCCCTATTAGATTTTTGCCCTTTGTCATCACATACTTTCTAAGCTAGAACATCCAAAACTATTTGTAAATCATGCTATAAACACTGATGATGGAATTGGTTGTGTTTTCCTTGATCAGTCATGGGGCTTGAACTCAAAGCCTGGGCACTGTCCCTGAGCTTTTTGTGCTCAAAGCTCACACTCTACCACTTCCAGGTTTTTGGGTGTTTAATTAGAGATAAGACTCTTATGGATGTTCCTTCCGTGGCTGGCTGCAAACCTAAATCCTCAGATTTCAGCCACCTGAGTAATTAACATTACAGGGATAAGCCACTGGCACCCAGCCTGGGATTTCTTTGTAATATTCAGACTGAAAATCACTACCTCTCTAAAGGAAAAATAAAAATAATAAGTTTTTTAGTCATGTAACATTTAAAATTTATCCTTACTTATCTTCAAAATTGCCAAGAGATCCTTCCAAGGAGGAGGTATGTGCAGTCCATAGGCATCTCAAGATATCCTCAAAGTTAGTGGAAGGTGACTTTAGATACTAAAGTATGGAAGAGAAAGCATGATTTGAAAAAAGTTCAAGACAATTGAAGTATTTCTCAATTGAGAAATGTGCTACATAAAATTAGTTTGAGTTTCTAAAAATTAATATGTCGAAGACCATAGTGCCAAACATTTTGTAGAAAGAATATAATATATGTTCATGTATATATATATTTGTATATATCCATTAATTTTAGTAAAGCACATTTATCCAGAAAACAAGAACTTCATTTTCAAAAGGCCCATAGTTTTATATTATCTAGAAGTATTTGTGTCCTATTCTCCCACAAACATTATTAAAATTACCATAAAAGTAAGAAGGAAAATTTTTCTTTCAATATTTAATTACCTTTACAACAATTAATTGAAAATTAAACGGATAAATACATCTTTTCATCACTGATTTTAGTCCTTTCCTGTATTTAATCTAGGTATGCTTTGTCATTTATTTTTTTGGTGGTACTAGGTTTGAACTTGATGTCCTGCTAACTAATCAGAAACTCTAATACTTGAGACATGCATTCACTCATTTTCAGTTTTAGTTGTTTTTCAGGGAGAGTCTCATGTTTTGCTTCTGCTAACCTCAGACTACAATCCTTACCTATAGCTTCTCCCTATAGCTGGACTCATAGTTTCATGTCACCATGCCTGGCTCACTGATTGAGGTGGGATGGTACTAATGTTTTGGGGCCTTGACACCCAATCCTGCTTATCTCTGTTTCCCAAGTAGTTAGGATTGCAGACATGATTCATTATGCCTAGCTTTTCACTGAATATTTATGTCAGAAAACCATCCATTTGTTTAGTTCTTCCCATATAAGATTATTTATTAATTTTCATTGAAATAAATTGGTTCCTCTAAAACCAAGTCTGTCATTGCATTTCTCCGAAGATCTCATAGCTTACCTACACTTACTATTAACCATACTAGCTTGTCTATCCTATAGTTTAAAACAAATCTAATAATCCTCAATTTGGGAGCTATACATCATTTGAATTTGGAAGAATGTATAAATTTCATATTAATGCTGTGATGGAGTTGTAATTATCAATGACATGCATTGTACTACTGTGCTACTTAGTCTCAATATATGTAGTACAACAAATCACATTTTCATAATAAGGAAAATGTTTTTGTACATTACCCTTAAAACAGACTTAAACAAAAATTGCAACTTAACCATCTCTTGACATGATAAGAGTCTATGGCAATACTTAAAGAAGCAACCTGATAAAAAGCATTCCACTGCTTCATCATCTCGGGGTGGGATGAACGACAGCCAGAAACGTTGTAACAAAACCTCTGCTGATCCTTGGGTGGTGGCAGTAGTGTGACTTGATCGGGTGATATCCCCATGATGCCAGAATCAACCGCAGAAAGGAAAGGTATTGCACACAGAAAATAATTTATATCTTTAAGAACAAACAAACATCAAGAGAATTTGGGTTTGCATGTGTTCAGTTTCCAGGGATTGAGATCAGGGCCTCACACTGTTAACTCTTTCTTTTTTTTTCATTCCTGGCTGATGTTTTACCATTTGATCTATACCTGCAGTCCAAAGTTTTTGCTTGTTGTTTAGGGATGGAGTCTCAGAGGTCATCTACTTAGTCTCTCTTTAAACTCTTGAAACTTAGATCCTCTGGACTCAGCTTCGTAACATGTTAGATTTAAAGGCATAAGCCACTGGTACCTACTTCATAAATATGTTTGTAATGAGGCCATACGGCCTTAACAGTTGGTGGAATGTGAACTGGTTCAACTTCTGTGGAAAGCACTATGCCTGTTCCTCAAAAGACTAAACATAGAGCTCCCCTATGTTCCAGTAGTGCCACTCCTGGGCATTCACCCAAACGGTCACAAACAAGGCCACATAGAAGCTGCGAGCACAACTAGGTTTATTGTAGCATTATTTATCATAGCTAAGATATTGAACCAACTCAGATCTCTCTTAGTAGATTAAAGGATCAAGAAAATGTGGTATAAATATGCAATGGAATTTTATTTTTCCATCAGAAAGAATGACATCACCCTGAACATAAGGAAATGGAAAGACTTGGAAAAAATTATATTTAATGAAGTAAGACAGACCAAAAGAAGCATAGGCTCCATGGTTTCCCTCATTTGTAATAATTAGAATAGGTCTAGGATAGCTCTAGCAGAGGATCACAATAGCTCAATAGCTATGTACATACTATAATGTTAATGAAAATAAACTCCACAATATGGGAACACAAGGTTTAAGAGTTTTTTGTTTTGGTTTGTTTTTAATGTATTGTACGAAGTTACTTCTGTGCTCCTTTTTTTTCCTTTTTTATCCCCTATTGTCAGGTTTTTATTTTGGTATCCTGTATATTGTATATATGTTTATCTGATTTGAGGAAGGGAAGGGGAATAATAAAATGGTGAGACAAAGGACAAAGGGTAAACCGATGCAACAGTGATACTCAAAGACAGTAAGTTGGACATGAACTTTACAACTTGCAGGGCAGGGAAGTCTGGGGGCAGAAAAGTGGGAGAAAACAAGGGAGGGGTAACAATGTTCAACAAGAAATGTACTCATTAACTTATTTATGTAACTGTAAACCTTCTGTACATCACCCCTACAATAAAATACAATAAAACGAACAGAGATTCAGAAGCAAAAGATAAAACTTGGGGACCAAACTCAAAAATATTATAGAAAAAACCCTAAAGACCATGCATATAAATTCAATGTACTTCTGTTAGTAACACGATAATCATGAATATATACCAGTTCAAGAAATGTATCAATCAAAATACAGTAGACTTAAAGAAGAACTCAAATAGTGTAATTCCTTAGGAAGGCAAAATCAAAGTTTAGTAAAATTAAACACTAGGAAATGGGTACCTGAATGGGGTAGGGTGGGGTTGGGTCAAGGGAAAGAGGAGAAGAAGGGGAGACTTCAGTCAAGAATTCAATGCATATTCTACAAAATTAAGAAGAGTTAGGGAAGAAGGGAGTAAGGGAGAGATGATCAAGATGCATTTTACTCATAAATTGTTTTGTTAAATGGCAATTCCTTTGTACAGCTACTTAATAGATAAGATTAAAAACAAAAGAACAGCTAGGTACTGGTGGCTCATACCTGTAATCCTAGCTACTCCAGAGGCTGAGATCTGAGGATCATGCTTGGAAGCCAACCAGGGCAACAAAAATCCTGAGACTCTTATCTGAAATTCACCACCAGGAACTGCAAATGGAGCTATGGCTCAAAGTGTTAGCGCACTAGTCTTGAACAAGAGAAGGTCAAGTATAGTGCTAAAGCCTTGAGTCCAAGCCCCATGACTGATTAAAAAATGAACAAATAATTTGCTCTATAGCCTTTTAAAAAAAGGAATGTGAAAATGAAAAATAATTTAATAGACTTAGTAACACTCATTTTTCAAATATTAAATAAAACAGGAAGAAAACTAAAAATTGAGGTGGATACAATATCTCCCACCAAGATTATATTGTGAATTATAATTTTTCTAAATTACTCTAATTTATTTGTAGATATTCCAAATTGACATTTTTTCTCTTAGAGAAGTATCTTTAATTTGAAGACATATTAAGTGTCTGGTTTTAGCCCTTGTTTTAACCCAAGTCTCCAAATCAAACTATTCCTGAGTTCTAGCAGTAGATAATAAAATCAACAAATAATGAGACTAACAATCACATAAGCTAAAAGTTATTCCCTCAAAGGCTATATTACAGCAGATTTAAGCATTCTAATTGATACTGATGCCCACTAGAAATCAGTGGTGTACTATAACAATGTATTTTTTTTCATATGTCTCAGCATAGCAGGATGATATACTGAACTACTAAGCTAATGGAGAAGGGAAATGAAATTTAAATTTTAGATCTGTGACAAGCCTATGCTTGAATTTTGAGAAGAAGGTGTTAAGTACTAAGAGAAATACTTTTGAAGATACATATCACATGTGATTTCCTGAGAAAGTGAAAATTAACTTTATCTTGTGTTTTATAATTGGGAAATAATCTCTAAGAAGCAGATATATATATACATCAGTTTTGCCAAACACACAAAATTAAAGAATTAGAAATTCCTTCCAATGTATTTTAGCACTTTTTTATGTGACTGAAGCCTTAAATTACATGATGATAAAATAAAGTGTGAATTCTATTCATCTGATTCATTTACCCATTTGACCAAGAAAAACTAAAGCACTGATTTCATGACTTTCACTTCGTAGCTTCCTCAGTTCAAAAGATTTCATACTACACTTGGGGGACCTGCCTGCTAAGTGTCACTGTTGATCTCCCAGAGGTCATGACCTTCTTCGATTTTGTGGTTCAGTTCTTCTGTAAAACGCTGGATGTGTCCTAGAAATGACTGTAGTTGATATCTTTTATAATGTGACAGAGTCTACCACATACATTATGAATTTGATTCATTTTTATAGGAGAATTGTGAGTTGGGGAAAAGGTAATCAAGATTCTTGCAAAGTAAACCTACCAGTCCACCAACTGTCTGCAGAGATACACAGATGATCTTCCGATTCAAAACCACAGTTAGTCTTTCTGGTAGGATCAGCTGATCTGCCTGGAGAACAGAGAATGCAGAGATTAGTAGTAGTTGAGTATCTCTAATGCCAATAATTCAGATCTAATGTTGTTTTATGCTTGATAATTATGCCTAATTCTGTACTGAAGTTTCTACTAGAAATAGACAAACAAAAAAGAACTTGTGAGAAAAGGAAAGTAGAGAAATATAATTATTCCAATGAGAAAATAAATCAATTTTCACAAACATGGGTGTGGCATACAGAGTTCCACTTTTCATAGATCAAGAGAAGGAAAACAAGAGGTTTCTCACCTGATCTGAATTGCCAGCCAAATTGCAAAGGCAGTCCCCATAAGACATTTTGCTCATTTTCTGGAGCAAATTTTGCAAAATATGTGGCTGTCTGGCTCAGCAGAATTTTATACATCCCCATTCTGCTAGTGTAGACCCAGGGATCAATAATGTATTTTCCATTCTCCACCTTGTAGTCACTGAACTGGCCAGGACTCTCCTCCCATAGAGGGGGATAGAAACTTGAAAGGTTAGGAGCTCCTACTACAGAGGTAGAAAGATAACCCACTAATACCCATGCCCAGCAAGGAATGAAAGCCATGGTGCCAATGTTGGGGAGCTGCGATTGGGTTGAGCTTTTATTGGAGAACGAAGGAGGAAGTAACAATATTTTTCTACCCCACCTCTTGTTACCACTTTGCATTCTTCTTTTTATTTTTGCAGAGGGTGGAGGTGTTGATAACTTTGATACATTTGTTAACATTCACTACAATTAAGTTATTTTTGCCAGCTGTGGAGAATTCACAAATTATGCTCAATCCTAAATACAAAATGAAAAATTTGTTAACAAAAAATGTTCAAAAATTATCCAACCCATACTGTGGTTATAAAATAGATCATCAGTGGCATTAGAGTACTTCTCATTTAAAATAATAACAACATATCTCATAGAAAATATTGGATAACTGAAAATGGGAATACTAACATTTGTAATCATAGGCAGACAAGGTATGATATAAAATATGATTGATCTTGTTATAAAACGAATTACTGTTTCAAGAAAGAAAAATATTTACTACGTAGAGTTGCAAAAACAAGAGTATCCTTAAAATCAAACAGAAAAAGAAAAGAAAGAAACTTTACCAGTTGATTAAAGAATGAAGCTTGAAGTATATCCAATTATCTCAGTTCCATTGACAAAACCAGTACCTTAGAAATAATGAGTTTGTTGGACAGAGACTGCTAATAAATTCCCAATATCTATTCTTTTAACTTCATTTAACCAACACACACACACATACACACACACACACACACACACACACACACAAATCCAGAAGTGGAGCTGTAGCTCAAAGAAGTAGAGCACTAGCCTTGAGGGAAAAAGCTCAGGGACAGCATCTAGGCCATGAGTTCAACCACAAAATATTGCCCAAGTACACATATTTTCCTATGATTAAGGCTGTATTTGCAAGGTCTCTTACACCAACATTGTAGAACTAAGTGTTGACAATGGGAGCTATAAATACAAATGATTTCCCCATCTCATAGCATGCTCATAAGTCACTTCTCTTTCTATGGAATGTGGCTTGGAACAATGATGAAACCTCAGTTTTGATCCCCATGCATCAGACACTACTTTAGGTATTATGGAATGTAAAGCTGGATATTGCCTGAAGTCCATAAAATTGTACAATCATGAAATATCTCAGAATACCTAGAGCTCCATTTTATATGAGAAACATCTTTATCTTTCACAGGTAGTTGAATCTGATAATCTGAATTATTAGGCTAACCATATCCACACATTGCATAGCCTGTCAAGCATTCTGTTTAATTCTGCATAACAGGTCAAGGGGTCTGTTTAATCCTGCCACGGCTCCTATTAAATAATTCCAACACAATTCAAATATTTATTTTTGTCATATTATTTACCCAATAGCAACTTTTTCCATTAATTATTAAAATTTCCACAAATAACAATGTAAAATGAAAGTAGTTTGGATTGCTATTACTCTCTGCAGCTAGAAAATGAGTATTATGAACATTTAAAATGTTTTTCTATGTTTGTACAAAATAAACACATGAATGTATATTACACATTTCTCTAAAATCAAGTTCCAAAATCATTGTCAATAGAAAAACCTTAAGAGCATTTTGTTAGTAGCAATTCTAAACATTTAAGTTTTCTTTAGACAGTCTCTTCAGTAAATGGTGCTGGCAAAATTGATTAACAACTTGTAGAAAACTAAAGCTAGATCCTTATATATCACCCTACACCAGATTCAACTCCAAATGGATCAAAGACTTTGGTGTCAAAGCAGACACTCTGAAAACATTAAAGGATGGAATGGGAGAAACCCTAGGTCTCCTTTGCACAAGCCAAAATTTTCTTAATAGAGACCCAGAAACACAACAAATCAAAGTATATTCTTAACTGTAGCTCTTTCCAACTTGCCAAGAGAACTGAAAGCCACCAGTACTGAATTCTAAGTAACAGTAAAGTCTTTAATAAAAATTGCTCTATCAGTATTGAAAGTATCCATGGTGGCAGGTGTTTCTGAGACTCATGTGTTATAATCAGTGTCGTAGGAAATCTGATAATAGCTAAGAAATCAACTACAATAATCCATTTTTCACAGTCTGCTTCTTTTCTTTTTGTTCGGTCGTCAGGCTTGAACTCTGGAATTGGGTGCTGTCCCTCACCTCTTCAGTTCAAGGCAAGTGCTCTACCGCTTGAGCCACAGCATCACTTTTGGTTTTCAAGTGGTTTGTTGGAGGTAAGGGTCTCATGGACTTTCCTGCCAGGGCTGGCTTTGAGCTGCGATCCTCAGATCTCAATCTCCTCAGTAGCTAGGATTACAGGTGTGAGCCACCTGCGACAGGCCCTGCTTCTTTTTTTAGAATAATGAGCATACCTAAAAGATAAAGCATTCAATTAAAGCCAAACATCTCACTATTCCAACAAACTTGTTTCAGAAAGGATCATTTGTTCCCAACCAAAAAAAAAAAATTGAAATGGAGTCAAAAAATTTTAAAAGAAAGTAAAAGCTGTTTCCCTGAAAAGAAAATCAAAATGGATAAACTTTTAGTCAATCAAACTAAAAAGAAAAGAGAAAAGACCTAATTAAAAAAAAAATAGGGGCTGGGAAGGTGGTTCAGTGGTAGAATGATTGCCTTGCATTCATGAGACCCTGGGTTCGATTCATCACCACCATGTAAGCAGAAAATGCAGGAAGTCCCATGTGGCTCAAGTGGTAGAGCTCTAGCCTTGAGCTGAAGAGCTTTGGGACAACACCCAGGCCCAGAGTTCAGACCCCACAAACAACAAAAAAATAAAATAAAATAATATAAAATAATTAGAGATAATATAGGGGGATCACACAAACAGCAATGGAACACAGAGAGAATACTTTCAAAACACATGTTCAAATAACATAAAAAGTCCAGAAGCAATTAATAAATGTGGTGCATAGCAGAAGCAAGAGAGATGAATGAGAAGTCTTCAGACATTCCTACCCAAATGCAACCACCTGTTTGTATGGCACCAATGAGCCCTGCTTTCTTTGCTCTCATTGTTGGAGTGCCCATACTACCCACACCTCATTCAGATTGGATGATATCACCCTTCAGCAATATCATTCATTTTGTAACCAGATAATTCTTTCATCACCTCTTCCAGATGGGTTTATTAATTTTCTAGACTGTCTTAAAGGTTAGCTCTGACGCTAGCTGATATTATCACAATTATATACCATTGGGTTATACAGCTATGATCAAGATAAAACTCCCAGGGATGTGTGGGGAGATGAAAGAAGTGAAACTTTCAAGATGCATTGTCATAAATTGTTTTACAGCAACTCCTTTGCATAACTACTTGAAGGTAAGAATTTTTAAGAGGAAAACTCTCACTCTCCCTCTCCCCCCCACCTCTCTCAGTCGTAGGGTTTGAACTCGGCCTGGACACTGTCCCTCAGCTATTCAGCTCAAGGCGAGGGCTCTACCATTTGAGCCTCAGCACCACTTTTGGTTTCCTGGTGGTTAATTGGAGGTAAGAGTCTCATGAACTTTCCTGCCCCAACTGGCTTTGGACCAGGATTCTTAGATCTCAGTCTCCTGAGTAGCTGGAATTACAGGCGTGAGTCTGTAATTAGAAAATTAATTGTTTTTTGTTTTGCTGGTTTTGGGGCATTTGAGTGGTTAATTGGAAATAAGAGTTTCATGGGCTTTCCTGCCCAGACTGGCTTCGAATCTGGATCCTCACATCTCAGTCTCTTGAGTAGCTATAGTCAACATCCAATTTGTATGATTTTTTTAAATGCAACACTTTTTCTCAGAGTTTTGTCCTTATAAAATAATTTCTAGTCTAGATCATGCTCATCATTATAATCTTTAAAAGTTAGAATTATTATTTATCATCAAGGTTTAAAAATACTATACATGAACAATAAAATGGATAAAGTGAGACAAAAATATCATTTATCAGAGATAATTTGGGTCCATGTGTAGAGGTTGTTTTTTATAGCCCTAACTACTTAAGCAGAGTACAGATTAGAAGCATTGTGGTTCACATTAGGCACAGGCAAAGTAGGAAAGAAAGAAGACAGGAGAGAAAGAGAGAAAGGAAGGAAGAAAGACATGAGGACAGGAGGAAGGAGAGAGGAGGGAAGGAAGGAAGGAAGGAACAGAGGGAGGGAAGGAGGAAGGGAGATAAGGAAAGAAGAAAATAATGAGAAAAAAGAAAGATGAAATGAAGGAAGGAAAGAATGAGAGAAAGAAAGAAAGAAAGAGAGAGAGAGAAGGTAAGCAAAAAAAGAAGAGAGAGCAACACCAGTCATCGTGGCAGTGGCTGTGTTTCCAGCTATGATGGAAACAGGAAGGATGGTCTTGAGAAGCAACACAAGATGGTTTGCAAAACAAAAATAACTAAAGCAAGCAAAAAAAGAGAGAGAACTGTGGGCATGGCTCAAATGGTAAACACCTGACTAACAAGCACAAAGTCCAAAGTTCAAAGCCTAATATTGCCAACAAATAAAATTTTTAAAAATAATTTGGGATTCTTTCTTACCTGTCTTCAAATAATTTGACAGAATTTTTCAGGGGTGAGCTGTGTGCAGCCCATAAATATTTCAAGATGATGCTGAATTTACTAGAAGGTGACTGTATATACTGGAGAGAAGAAATCTATGGTTTTTTCAGCTCCTATAATAATTCCTCTTCCTAAATTGCAAACTTGATTAGAAAGATAACTGAGCAATATTCTACACTGATAGAATTATGTCTTTCAGACTTAATATATGAAGGATGCTAGTGTCTATCATAATGTAAAGGGCAAAATGGATGCATTCTCTTTAATAAGGCACGTAAACCTTAAAGACTTCAAGTATCTTCAAAGACTATATTTCATACTACACAAGAATTTTTTGGTACTTTTCTTCTAGAAGCATGATTAATACTCCCAGGAAATCTTAAGAGTAACAAAAGCTTTGTTTCAATTTAAAGTTTACTTATACCTAAAATAATGAATTCACAATCTAGCCTATTAGTAAATGTCATATTAATGTTTGTTAGTCGTTGTCTATGTTTGACTCATGTATGGGG